CCCGGAGCCACCCTTGGGGCAGGTGGCGCTACTCCCGCACTAGGCTTGGCGAAGCCCGGAGAGGCAACGGGAGGGCTGCGCTGCTACCTGCGCCCAGGATTCCTTGGCTCGCGCTCTTTCCCACCGCCTCCCAGACAAACATATCCCTCCCTACCTGTACTGTACCTAAACCTCACAGGGTCCTGAACTCTGGCTGCTGCTTCGGTCACGAGTCTCCACGCGCCACCTTTCTAGGAATTTCCCAATCACTGAACTTGCCAAAGGAGAAAAGTGAAAAAGCGAAGGGCTGACACAAATCTTTGTGCTGGATGTACTTTTCTCCTTAACTAATCATTACATACATGAGAATTGATAGTTTGCGTCTACTTCACGTATTTGCCAATCATTGCTAGGCACTGCAAAAATAAGGTTTATTAACCTAATATTTCATTTAAACAAAAGGGTCTGACAGCAAACAGCATTATAAAAGTACCACTACCTAGATGATACATAATTCTAATATCCCAGCTGCCAAATTAAGCAAACAGTTACTATGCATGGAATACTCTATTGTATATGGGATGGAAAGGTAAACCTAACAATGAGAAAGCAATCTGAAGTCACAAAAATATCGAATTGCACCAGCTAATTAGAGGAAAAAAGTAAAGATGCAGTCATAGGAAAGGAAGAAAAGGAAGAATTACCAGTGCACACTGTCACAAATATAATATGGAACCAAACTCGTGTGTAATTTTTAACTTAGTGAAGGACCCATAAAATATTACCTGACTTTATTATAACATAGTAATTATTAACATAGTAATTATTAAAGGCTTTGTAACACTTTGATCTGCACCTTAGATGTCTTCAACCACCTTTTTTGGTCTTTCCTTTGAGTCCTCACATTTATTTATTCGTTCATTTTGACAAATTGCAAATTTTATTTAATTGATATCCTATAACCTTGCTAGAAAAACTTAAGTTGTTAAATGGTTGGAAGCAATGAATTTTAGAAATAATGCAACACTTCTGATTCAAACCATCAAATTATGAGAACACTGAGATCCAAAGAGTTATCTATTTAAAAACGTGCTTTAGAGCCCATTTTAATCATTAATATACCAAAAGTTTTTCTTTTCCTAGTTTATCAACTAACCTCATGTTTTTCCATATTATAGTTTTTTTAGAAAATCAGTGGCTTCCATTTAAGAAATTAAATTTAACATGAAAATCTAGTACTTTGATTTTAAAAAGATATTACCAGATATTAAAGTTTAATTTAAAGAATTTGGCAACATATGTCCCCCCAAGTTCAATTCTTTAGTGTAAATATTTTTTTAATATCTTACTAGCACTTAAGAGAGAATTATCAAATGAAAGCTTTCTATAGGGTAGACATATTTGCAACTTAGATAATCCATTTTCAGCTTACTTCTGATGGTTTCCTGCTTACTCAGTAATAACTAAGTACTGTTAATTGTTCATATTGTAGGATTTTGAGGAGAAAATTTCAAATCTTCTCATAAATATGCATTTTTAGAAAACTTAAAATTGATATAAATAATCACAGGACAGAAATTTGAGAAATTCAGGTGAATTAGCACACAAAAACCATCACTATTACTCGTGAACTCATTTTCAAAATTTGTCCCCATGGTCAATTTTGCTGTTTGAGTCAGCTTTAATATACATAGCTGGTGGAATTACATATTCTCGTTATATTATTCAATAACTCCTAAATTGTTACATTATTTTGTTTGTTGACACTTAGGTAAAATCATAAAGAGACAGAATTCATGTACATTTTAAAAGTTAGTTTTTAACCCTGCTGTGGTTTGAAAGTGTCTCCCAAAAAGAATGCAACTTTAATCTCCAATGCAACAATGTAAAGTGGGGCCTAATGTCAGGTGACTGACATCAAAAAACGTGTTTTAGAGCCCATTTTTAATCATTTAAATAAATAGAACCACCAAAAAAATATAACCCAAGTCATTCTCTCACCAGTAGATCTCTAATCTCATGAATTAATACTGTCACCAAAAGAGTGTAAAGTATAGTAAAAATGGGTTTCTTAAACCTGGTCCTCCATCTTGGACTTACCAACTATACAACTATAAGCCAATACTTTTCTGCTCCATGTATAATTGACCAGTGTTTTTTGATACTATACAACAACACAAAAGAGGCTAAGACAAACCTCAATTCTATTTTATATACCATTATTCTAACAATATTCAGTATTTTTTTATATTAGCTAAGGAAATTGGTGTTCTACAAAATCCATTTCTAGACATTAAAATTGTACTAATTTGCCAAAACGTATTTGTAAGACATTAATAATAGAGAAAAGTTCAATTCGTGTGATATATTTGTACCACTCCCATGACACAAGTATTATTAAATCTACTTAAATAAGGATTAGAATTATTTTTCTCCTTTATGTATACTGATGTTCTAGAATACTTTTATTTCTACCAATAACGAAACAATAAGCCCTCAAAGAGGAAGATTCTATGATGTCAAAATCACACTATTCCATTATAGGGAAATTTAATTTTTTTTTAGTTCTGAAAGATGAAAGTTCAAGATCAGAATTCTAACAGGGTTGGTTTCCCACATCTCCTTTCTCCTAACCTCTTGATGCCTCTTCACATATTTCACCCTCTGTGCATGTACACCTATGGTATCTCTTCATATAATATATCATATTATGTTCCACCTATACAGCCCCATTTTAACTTAATTTTCTCTTTTAATACTTTATCTGAAAATACATTTATATTCTGAAATACTGGGGATATGGATTTTAGGGGAACATAATTCAGCACAGAATACTCATATTTAATCCATTTCTCTTATTTCTATACTTCATACCTTCATGCCTTCAAATATCCTTTTCTTCTGCCATATCCCATAACCTATTAGATTGGTAAGAAATGCATTAACACATTAAAGGATAGTAGCCCTAGACATTTTTTGCCAATATTACACTTCCAATTGGAGTGTTTTCAGGAGAAGACAGGGGTTTGTGAATCAAAAATAAAATGTAGTCTTACGTGAATTTTTGCTTTTCAAGGTACACTCAGAAAGCATCACTTGCATTCCCTTACCTTTGATAAGCCCAAGTCATTCTCTCACACAGAAGATGGGTTAGCAACCTCAACCCTTTCCTCTATTCCTACTCAAAAGGCAAAGTCTCCCCTTTTACAGGATCAGGCTCAAATCTCCCTGAACTTATCTTGTGATACATATGTACAGAGAAAACCACATAGGACAGATTTGTTGATTTCCTAAATCTGCCTTACTGGGAAGACCTGAAATGGGGGAAGGCCAGGCTGTTGAGAGATAGAACCACCAAAGAAATATAACCTAAGAAGATGTCACTTAAGGAAGGGAGAGAACAAGAAAAAGATAACTTTACTCCCCCCCCCATCTTCCAATGGCTCACCTATGCCTCTTGTTGGCCAGATCCATTCTGAAGCTGGGTGGCTCGAAAGCAAGGGTATACAGGCATAGTCCTCTCCATGATTCAGAGCACAACAATGGAAACTCATGTAATGAATCTTATATCTAAGAGAATTATGTATAAGGCTTAAATAACTTGCCCAAGATCACAGAGCTAGCAGTTCCTATTCTGTTCTTCAGGATTTGTGTATAGGTAAGGAATATGAGCTCTGAATATGGAGAAAGAATTCTTGGATCATTGGTGGCATGAATAAAATAGTCAGACCCCACCCCTTTTTCTTCCTCTCTCTCTTTATGCTTCCTCTTCACCATGAGGTGAGCAGTACCTCCACCACATGCTCTACCCATGATGTACTGCCTCACCACAAAAGAAATGGATCCGACTGACTATGGACTGAACCTTCCACAACTGTGAGTCAAAATAAACTCTCCTTAAGTTGATTTTGTTATGTATTTTACATAGATTAAAAAGCTGACTAACACAGCCACAAATTAAATATATGACAAGTGTGTCATCAATCCAAACTCAGAAACTATAAAAGAAAAAAAGGAGTTTAGCTGAAGTCTTAGAAATGGAAATTTAGGAAACACCAATTTAGATAGCTGTAATCAGTATTTCAGAGAAAGTGAGGAAGGAGGTAACTTATTAGGAAAATAGTCTTGATTTATTATAAAGCAATAAAAATTATTTTGTGAGAAAACTTTGGTTAGAGATGAGAAGAGCTCCTTTGTGACAAGAGCTATGTGACTAATAAAAGATACAGAAAAGAATGTGCATACTTAGTAAAAATGTCCATAAACAAGAGTCTGATAACCTCTTTTTAAAATTTTTTTTGTAGTTGTAGATGCTTTTGCTTATCTATATGTGGTGCTAAGGATCAAACCCAATGCCTCACACATGCTAGGCAAGTGTTCTGCCACTGAGCCACAGTCCCATCCCTAATAATCTCTTGATATGCATCTGTAGTATCTGTTGGGGGGGGGTGGTGGTAATTATCTGTTCTAGGTGCTT